TAATCTTATGCTATAACACATTTACCCTGAAGTGGTCTAGATGGTGAGGTTTTAATATTAGTTATTACTGGAGTCATAATCTTATGCTAGAACACATTTACCCTGAAGTGGTCCAGATGGTGAGATTTTAATATTAACATTTGTTTAGATGGTTACATTAAGTGGTCTGAAGGGGAAATGTTTTCTTTTATGGCAAGAAAAGAAAACTTGAGGCTTAGTGCACTAGGCAAAGAGTTCATAACTCCATGTGCATAACATGTGAGTGTATGCAAATTTGATGTTTTCTCTTTGTAATATATTTGTTTCATTCATGAATGAAATGTGTGCCATATAAGCTAGGCAATAAAGCTATAGAATAAAAATAAACAGTATAAAAGTTAAACAGTTGAAAATTTTAATAACATGAAACCTGATTGTAAAAACATATTATTTATTAAAAGAAGAGGAAAAAGGTAAGTTTATTTTATAATTTTCAGAATTACATTTCAATTTCACTCCACATTGATTCAGCTACTGTTAGTGTTAGGAATAGAAAATAACAGATAAAGCACAAACTTTTACCTTAAAAAAGCTTTTGATATTCATTTAGGAAGTTGTACTGGTTATGCAAATTAAATATGAAAAGTGCAAGATGAAAAGAAGTATTTTTATTCTTAACCTTGCACTAATACCAGTCAGATTGACTCTATAAATGCACGGAAAATGTTTTAGTAAAAATACTGTATTAAAAAAAATGATTATTATTGTACAACAGACATGTAATTTCTACCAGTAGCTTGCCAAATTTCATCAATGTAGAGTTAGTAAACTTAGAATTATAATAAACATTGGTACGTATAGCTTCATAGAATTAGAATTTCATGCAATGCACCAATGCCATTCACATTGGGTTGATGTATGACAACAACATTTTAAATTATAACTAATTTTTCAACAATATAATATTTTTAATATTATATAAGTTTTGTTTCAAAAGGGAATACGTAAATATATTTTCAACCTTCACTTCTCTATATCACTTGATACTTCTTCACCCTGAATTGCCCATTTTGGATTTTCTTTCTACCCTTATATGACCTCTTCAGTTTGTCACAAATTACACTTGTAGTATAGATATTGTTAAGCCATATATTATTATAATTGTAAATTTCTAGCCTCCAAGTTTCTTGCTTTACTGAGACGTAAACAAGAAAGGCAAAGCCATATGCCATACCCCTCCGATCACACCTTGACTTTCAAAAAATACTCAATGATTGTTTGACATTGGATTATTTATAATAATAATAATAATAAAAAAAGAAGAGAGAGAGAGAGAAGATTCTACTTCACTGAATTTGTTGTGAGACTAGCTTGTTCTAATGACAGGTCTTGAAATATTTAGCTTTAGTTTCATTGTTTGCAATTGTAAAATTCTGCTTGACCAGCTAATGGAATATTTTAATATTCACACTAATTTTTTCAATCAATGTGTGGAATGAATTTTTTTCATGTGCACCAGTATCAAGGCTACTAGTTATTGTTCTTGTTGTTTTTTGAATTTTTTTTTTTGTATTTGTAGACCATCAACCCTATTGAATCAGTAGGCCAACTTGGAATGCCACCAGTTGATTATTTGGGCTTTAGGCCTATAAACTGCCAGGGTCATTAAATTATCAATGATGCTTTTCCATCTTACAATCAGGTTGTTAATTCTCTGGTTAAAGAAATCACTTGGCTTTAAAGCAAAAAAACATGTTGGTGTCCTTTTTAACACCTTCCACATTTGCATACATTTTCCCATTAAGATGGTGTTGCAGCGAACAAAAAAGATGGTAATCTGAGGGTGCCATATCTGGAGGATATGGTGTGTGAGGAAGAACTTTCCAACCCAACTCCATAACCTTGTGTTACGTCAAATATGCTGTATGTGGACATGCATTGCCGTAGAGAAGAACACCTTTCCTATTAACAAGAGAAGAGCATTTCTGATGAAGGGCTTGATTTAAACATTCTAGTTGCTGACTATAGATCTCTGCATTGACAGTTCGCTGTGGATTGAGGAGTTCAAAATGAATTACTCCTTTCATGTTCCACCAAATGCAAAGCATCACTTTGCAAATGGAGTCTAGGTTTTGGGGTTGGAAGTGGTTTTTGTCTAGGACTGAGCCATTGTTTTAATATTCATAGAGAATCCATTTTTCATCACCAGTGACAAAAAATGGTTCACGCGCATTACACGCCAGAAGAGACGAAGTAACATTCACACGTTGGAAATTATGGTCGTCGGTTAGTTCATGAGGCACCCAAACACCTTATTTATGGAGTTTTCACATATTACTTAAATCTTTACGTATTGTTTTATGAGAGACATACAATTTCAGGGCCATTTCACGAGTGTGTTGCCTTGGGTTAGACTTAACAAGGGTCTTCAGAGCAGCATTGTCAATTCCAACATGTAGGCCCCTGCCATCACAGTTTTTAAGGCTAAAGTCACCTGAACGAAATTTGCTGAACAATTGTTGACACTTACAAATATTCAAAACATTTCCATGAACTTCTTTTATATTCTTTGTGGCTACAGAGACATTGTTTCCCTTCTTGTATTCAAGCAGCATTACATCCCGATCATGTCTTGTCGAGTATCATCACTATAAGGGATTGGAGTATACTAAACTTTACACATTATATAGGCTACACTAACGTGACATTTAGGCGGTTTGTTTAACTATTATATGTGATGTACATTTTGGGGGGGTTAATGAAAGTGTTCCAAAACATGACATTAATTTCTTGATGACCTGATAGAAAGCCACTTAACCTGATAACAATGACATACTTCAGACTGGAGGACATTATGTAACTCTCTTTAAATTCTTTCCAGTAATAAAACCAGTGGATAAGCTTGTATAAAACTTGATAAGAACCTTCATAAAAGTATGTAGTTTGAGAAAAATATAATATTTAATTTTGAATTTTTTTCTACCATTTCTACCAAAAATTTGCTATTGAATGCGATTATTTGTGCTTGGTCTTGGAATAGTTCACCTGCAATGTGATTTTCATGTAAAGTAAAAAAATATTATTTTTTCGCAGTTTTCACATTTGACTTGCATTATCTTTAGAATCTCCTAAATGAATATCAAAAGTTTTTTAAGATAAATATTTATATTTTATTTTGAATTTTCTCTACTATTTCACTATCTATTATCATCAATGTTCAGTGCAGTGAAATCTTTGGGTCATGCATACTTTTACATCTTTACCTTTTCACTTTTACTTTATTTTTAATGTTTTATTTTTCTTTCCTGTTCTTTAATGTTGGTTACTTGTGTGAACACACATCAATGGGTACCTGCAGGCGAAAGAATGGTATAAACAGCAGAGATACCTTAGCCTCTGGCAAAATATTTTTATACATGCTTGGTAACATAAGCCTTGCAGAGTGAGATGAAGCTTTGGTTATTTTATAAAAATTATTAAACCTTTCAAATATGAATTTTAAGAGATAAATAATGCATAACTAAAGTATAAAACTTTCTCCCTAACTATAACATATTTAGTTAAGAAACAACTGAAGTGATATCCTGAACAAAGCAAACAACAATAGTACAACTTACATCTCCCCAAGAACAGCAACTTGGTGCCAATTCCAAAATAACCATTGTTGGATTTTAGTGTAATATGAGTTCTTTGTAAGAACTATAAACACATGTTGAAGTACATGTAACTTAGAAAGCTCAACATCAAAGTGAGTGTGGCACCTGTCAGGAGTTGACAATTGATTTCTTGTTTCAACTGCATTCAGCAAAAGTACTTTGGAGCATACGTGTCAGAAGGTCAAGTAAACTGTATTCTTGTCTAGACTTGTACATGACTACCCCCTTAGGCTTCAAGCTTATACTTTGCCAAATTTTGACATTGTTCATAGCTTGCGAATCATGTGACATAAAAGTGAGGTTGCATTATTGTTTTCAATGTTTATTTTGAAATAAAGGAAGATAATATGAAACTTTGAATTATAACATTCTTGATGATGATAATTTTATTATAATACATTGATAGTAAAGTGGTTTAAATTTTGAATGTAACTCTGTAACATGCACAGAAAGGGTTTTAAAAATAGCATTGTCATTATAGGGATAAATTATAGTTAAATTAGGACATTGATGAAATTGCATATATGGGAAGAATTCATATTTTGGGGGAACACCATAATCATTACAAAAAGTAGACTTACAGTACTTCATCCATTTCATCTTTGTAAGGTCAAAAAAGTACCCCAGTCTTAAGTATTAAATTCTTGTTTTTTTATGTTTAATTTTTTTATTGTTATAAAAGTGACAAAAATGTAAAAGTTAAATAAAAAGTAATAGCATTTAAATTTCTCAGTGAGGAATGAATACATGTAAACTGTTGTTTGGATATAATTCAATAATTTGTTTTCTGTAACTTCCACTGAGCTTTTGCTGGGTTATTTATAACTCTACAAGGTGAAGTACATGTTTTTTGTCCAGGTCGTAAATTTTAAAAAATGTGGGGTTAAATACTATGATAAATAACACAAAGATCCTAACTTTCACACAATTTATTTATAACATAAAATATTATTACAGTATTCATTATTTCCTTACCATAAGTTTTTATAAGCTTTAAGAATTCACTTTGTATATACTTAAAACATGCTATACACTGTGTGATGATAAGGGTGACTTTGTATGAAGAGGTAGTAGCCAAAATAGTGGCAGTAGAGGTGCTTTCTTGACTCGCTTTCAACACCCACCTCTTAATGTTCTTTCACACTGTTTCATGTTATTAATTAATTGACAGTCATTGGCTGCAGAAGTGTTTTATGGGATGAAGTAGGTCAAAGTAGGAAATGGGTATAACTTGAGAAATGGCTCTTCATATCAGCGTTATGGTGACTATTGTCGTATAAACTTCATCTGATTTATGTATTATTGCAATAGTGGTGGCCATTTTTTTCATTGCATTTCTCTATAAAGTGTTAGTGTGCTCTCTGAGATGTATATAAGCTGTATGTATCTCCCCCCCCCCCCCACAGTGTGTATTGTCTTATAGCTATCTGCTGTGTCTATCGAGGGGAATCGAAAACCTGATTTTAGTGTTGTAAATCTGAAGCTTATTGCTATCCCACTGGAGAATGAAAAATTTAATACAGTGTAGCCCCATTATAATGCGATTGTTGAGGTCCATAAAATGTCATTGCGAAACAAGTAGGGGTCGTGGTACATCAGGGTTTTGTAAAGATACACTTAAAATATTAAAAGTTATTTGTATGTAAACTATAACGAGGTGTCGGTCCAAGGGACCGATCCCGTGTTGAAAGAGTTAATGACCATTTGCGTTAAATCGGGGTTTCACTGTAGTTTTTTTTTGTTTGGTGTAAGAATGTGGTGCTGTATATGAATGTAGTTAATGCTAACTTGTGTCAGAGATAATAAATGCTCAATAACATTAATAATAGTAGTGGAGGGGTTGTGACCCCCCCCCTCCCATTAACATGCCACTTGTTCCAAACTATCATCCAAAAAATTTGGTTGAGGTTGGCCCAGTGACTTAGGAGTAGTTATATAAGAGACAAACAAATATACACATGCATTATATGTATAGACTACTCTAGTTAGACATGGTTCAAAAAGTAATAAGACAATAAAATTAAGTGAAAACTGAGGTAAACCTATGAATTTCAGGCTGTTTAGGATAAATAATTATCTGTTACAGTCTGCAGTATTTCAGAAAAAAAAGTACTTTGATTTTATTTCATACTTTTCAACTTTTGCTACAGTTAGTGAATAGAGAAAGTGAGAAATAAAATATAATTTTACCAAATAAAACTTTATATTGATTTAGGAGCTTCTAGAGATTGTGAATGAAATATGAAAACTAAGATGGAAAATCATTTTAATTCTTGATATGAAAATCATCTTGTACTCAGACCGACAAAGTAAATTCACACAGATCTTTAGTAGAAATACTTTTTTAATGTGGAAACTTAAAATTAGTATCTACGTGTTTGGGATTGTATGAGGATTACTATTAATTTAGTCACAGGAATTAGTGCATAGCTGGTTTACAAGTGAAGGTTGAGAAATTAGAATAAACTATTCTTAGAAATAGTTTTTATAAGAAGAAATAAATTTGTGTAACAACAGATCAAGAGCTAAATACTTTCATCTGGATACAATAATTTGCTATTTGAGTTGCTGGATTAGCACTTAACTATAGAATTGCATAAATGCATTGGAGGTTATATATGGATTGCTAAAATTATCATGTGACCAGCATCTTGAAAGTTAGTTTCACATCCAAGTATGTTTAGGATTACTTAGAATCATGTGAAAAATATGACTTGTGTATATATCCATATTTAATACTGTATGATAAATACTGTTAAACCTTTTTATAGGATCTAGAATAGGGCCATTTGGTTAATATTTGCATGGGAAACACTGTTTACCCTTAGAATTGGGGTCTAGCCCTGGAAGTTAAGATTTTTTTAATATAAACTGGATCTTTTTATAACATTTAGTTGCTTTGTAGTAAATGATATTTATTATGGAAGACATAATACATGTGGAATTGGTGTATCTTTTTACAAACTGCCATTTTTTAACTTACTACTTTGTTAGAATAATTATCTACCCTGTACATCATCTCAATATTTTACTATTGTTATCTTGTTCTGTATTGACAGAAAGCATTGATGAAACATATCCACCAGGATTTGGGTTTAAAATAAATCTATTTTTTGTCACTTACATTTGGTGTTTTGAATATTATATCTAGTCATGGAATGTTTTGTATTTAATTGAAGTTGTTTGAAACATGTTTTGTTTTACATATTAAATCAATTCATTACAAAAGTTGCTGTTTTACTGAGATCTTACAAGGCCCTGGTGGTTTTGAATATAATAATTTGTAATAGAAAATTTTCTTTTTACTGAGCTCTTACAAGACCCAGAATGTTTTAAATTTAAAATCTAATCAGGGGTAATCTAGCTGATTTACTGTCTACTTACATGACCATGGATGTTTTCAGTATAAACTTCATTCAGTGAAGGTGTTGCTGTTGTACGAACTATTATAAGACCTTGGATGTTTTTAAAATTTAGAAATGAATAAATCTTAAAATTTATGAATGAAGATAAAATTTTGAAAGTTTTTGTGATGGAAATGCACTAGAAAAAATTACTTCTCTTTTTCAGTTCTCTGTAAATGTGTTTAGAACTTTGCCTCCATCTTCAAATCCTAATGGTGCAGAGTTCGATCCTGAAGAGGATGAACCAACACTAGAAGCAGCATGGCCACACTTACAGGTAACTATCAATACGCTAGGTTTAAGCAGGGAAAATAGACCATTGATAATGTTATAGTGTATACAAGTAACTGTCAGTACACAAGGTTTAAATAGAGTATGCATACATACTGGTGACAATGTTACTCATGGAGTTTGATCTGATTTTTGGCATATTCCTGAATCAGCTTGTAGATACTTATTGCTTCCTTAAATCTGATCATGTAATAATAAGATTGAACAAAAAAAAAAGAACCTCGCATAGTTTACATATGTTTGATAGCTGATTGCAAGATTTGTGCCATGACAGTGTTCAACATGGGGTATACAGCTAGCTCTTCTGGTCTCACTGCTTGTAATATGAGCAAATTTCTTCATGTTCTTTTTCTTTTCTATTTCATGTCGCTGTAGAAACAGCCTTTTGTTGATTAAGGAGTGCACTTCCCTCTATCTGGTATACTTCGTGCTACTTTATTTCCAGTAATTTGTATTGTAGAGCACTGCATTAGAACTAACCAAAACGTAGTTTCTCCATATGCTTTGAAGTTCACAGAGACTAAGTTCTCTGTTTCGAAACTTAGAATAAGTTAGTTTCTCCATGTGATTGTGTTATGAAGTTTTGGGAGACCAACTTCTCTATGGAGCACAGTGCTGAAAATTACCACAAATTAGAGAAGAAAAAACCCACAGCAAACAAAATAATCTGTTAGAAGTTTAAATATTTGAGAAACTAGTTTCAACACATTCATGTGTATTCTTCAGTCTGATGTTGTCTTCTGGCATGAAAACTGGTCAACAACTCTGTGATCCTGTAATTTTGAATTTCCTTAAGTACACAAGAACTCAGGAAGTTGTTAAGCTTAACACTTTTGCTACAGATATCTTTTCTGCACATTTCATGAGGTTTTAGTGAGTTACATTCAAAATTCAATTAAAATACTTTATCACGGTATATGAATAAATTTGGTATAAAAAATGTAACTAATAATCCAAATTTTAGTACTGTATAAGTTTTAAGTTCTTAATTTTATAAAGCAATATATTAAAAAAATTCCTGAATTTCTCCCAGTATGATAATTGACATTATTTCTCTAGGCATCCCCTCTTTAATTTATTTGCCACCCCTCCAAGAAGTACAAAGTTTAACTTAAATTACTTATCATAATATTGTCATTGCTCAGGGAAAGCATAATTTTTATAGCCTTCAGTCTTATTTAGTTACAAACCATAAAATAGAAAATCACTCTTATTGCAATGTCCACCTGTCACATCCTCTATTTCAGAAATTGCTAATAGTTTTCTGACATATAATACTATGTTATTTATAACCAATATAAAGAAAGTGTTTTCATCTATCAAATGACATTGTTTTCTGTACAGAGAATTGTGTATTTGTCTTCCAGTTCAAACTTTATTCCCATGGGAAATGCATCAAAGAGCTTGGTGCTGAATTTTTAACTAGTTAGAAAGCCAGAAACATTGTGATAGTTATGGGACATTGTCTGCTTTTCCATGTTATTATGCTGTGTTCTTGGATGCATTTGTTAATTAAATATAAAATTATTTAGTGCAGTAGTACCATTAATATTTTTTTTTAAAAAGTAGGGTTAAGTGTCATTGACAGCAAAAAGAAGACCCAGGTAAGTATTTTATTTCTTCTTTTTCATCTGTATTCTTTATTTATTATTATAAAAGTAACTAAAATGTAAAAATTAGAAACTTTTTAGGTTAGATTAGGTAAAGTAAATAAAAATAATAATAAATATCAGTCCGTGCTTTATGTAACTTGATAAGGTACTGTGAACTACACATTTGCCAATTGATTTACAACTTGTGTGTTGTGAATATTAGACACTGTTCAGAGGACAATAAAATTTAAGTACAAATCAGTGTTTGCTGTTATGAGCTTAAAACTATTTAGGATAAACAAATGTACTTTCATGTTACAATTTGATGCCATTTTAGAAAGAAACGAGATTTATTTAGATTTATTTAATTTTTTTTTTATGCTTACAAAGTCAGTCAAATTGACCATCTTCCTGTAGTTAGGTTATAGAAAATAACAGTTCAAATATAAAGTTTTACTGAAAAAAAAATGTTTGAAATTTATTTAGGAGGTTTTAGAGATTCTGCAAATGAAAGTTGAGATTTTTCAGATGAAGAAAAATATTTTTATTTTAACATAAAATTACTTTGTACTTTGAGCAGTCAACACTTTGACTCCATATATTCATGGAAAAATTTTTAGTGAAAATAATTCATTAAAAATTCTGATTTATTTTCCACAAATGACTTAATGATTACTGAAAGGTTGTGAAATTTTGTATAGATACACGAAACACATTAGAAGTTATAGTATGGAAACTATAAAGGTTTGGGGTCATGAACTTGGCTTATTCGTCTGAGCTCGTAACGAGAGAGTTAGTGACTTTGGGAGGTGTTGAAATTTGGCAGGCTTTTGATGATTCTTTTTATGCTGTTGTCTGTTTTGAATAAATTTGTTGTTGACTTCCAAACAATTTGATGGCCAGAATCTCTTGTATGAAGAAAAATTGTATTGTTTGTATTGTCTTTTATGTTCAGAAATTCTTGTGTCAACACTTTTCCTGTTTCATCTACATAACTTTTGTCTCAAGATTGGCATGGTATAATATAAACAAGTTTTTTTTTGTTTTTTGTTTTTTCAGGTACTATTCTATTTGAAGTCGAGTTATTTTTAAGGGTTTTCTGATACTTGTTATCAGTTATTTCTCCTTAATATTTTCTCTAGGGGCTCGGTGTTAGTGTTGCAGCCAATATAAAGTGTTTTCATATTATCGTTGGTTCTTCTTTCTATGTTTTAATGAAAAAAAGTTTTTCTTGATCTAAGATGGCAATTTGTATTGAAACATTGAAAGTGGAGTTCTTTGAAATTCAAGAAATATATTTTTACTTTCATGTTGAAGTGTTGTTGGGGGGCATATTCTATTGACTCTTAAGAAAACAAATAAAGAAATGATTGATGTTTTGATCTATTTATGTTGGTGTGAAATGAAGAGAAGATAACTTAAAGAATTAGTTGGTTTATGATATAAAGAGAAGATGAGTTTTCAGTAAATATCACAGGTAAAGGTATTAATACTGGTTGTAACACAAGGTATTAATACTGGTTGTAACATATTTTCAAGTAAAGACATTGGTTCGTGATACTAAATTATTAATTTTATGATGTTAGTAAAACTCTGCTCTGAAGAATATAAAGTGATGTGCCATGATATAAACATTGTTGTGCTTAAGTATCAATAAGCAGTGGAAAATATGTACATTCTTGAGTTATTATTAACACTTAGTTAAATATATTATTATTGAGTATTAGTAGTCAATATAAAATGATGTTTATACTTAGGGGGTATTATTATTATTAGTTAAATGTGTTTATAGTTTGTGTATGATTGTTAAGACTTATTGTGATGTTGTTTTTTTCATAATAAAATAAGTACATAATTTTCATTAATTACTCTGTATTTTTGTTTGATAGCTTGTCTATGAATTCTTTTTGAGGTTTCTGGAATCTCCAGACTTTCAACCAAACATTGCTAAACGGTATATAGACCAGAACTTTGTTTTACAGGTAACGTAACATTTGCTCTTCCTTATATGAGGGAAAAAGTGCATTATTATTATTATTTGTTAATAACTAAAAAGTTTTAAGTTTACATGACATTATGTTAAAATGTTTCATCTGATAAAATGAATGTTAAAAAAAATCAATTTTGTAAGGAATGAGCTTTCATAATGATTTAGAAGCTGACTATATGTGGCAGATTTACAATTATTGAATGAAGCTGACTATATTAGATTGATTTAAAATTGTTGCAGGAAGCTGACTATTAGGCAGGGACCTAATGGTTAGGGTGCTTGACTTGCAATCTGAAGGTCATGAATTTGAATTCAGTTACAAAATATTTGTTTTTAGCCATGGGGCATTATCATGTGGGGGTCAATCCTACTTTTAGTTTGGTAAAAGAGTAACCCAAGAGTTGACAGTGGATAGTGTTGACTAGCTGCTTTCCTTCAAGTTTGTCACTTCTAAATTAGGGATGACTAGCATAGATAGCTGTTGAGTAGCTTTATGTAAAATCCAAAAACAAATATTAGGTAGATTTGTAATTGTTACAAGAAGCTGACTATTAAACAGATTTACAGCTGTTACAGGAAGCTGACTATATTAGATTTATAGTAGGGTAAGTTTAGAACTATTCCATTGGATGGCTTTGACACAGAACTGGGTTATTCTAAGGCATATACTTTGCTACAATGATATTATAAACATCAGCTTCATTTAGCTTTACAATAAGAAAATGGCAAAATATGAGAAGTATACTCTATATTAACTGAGAGAAGAACTAAAGAAACAAGGAACAAATTTATAAACAAAAAAGGAACTTTAAATTGATATAATTAATTTTGGTTCTTCTTTAAAGTATGACAGTTTGTGATAGATAAGAAAGCTTTGGCATTGGGACTTGTGTATGATAATGCATTAAGTAATTTAACCATGTTAATTTTAAAACTCCAAAGGACAAAGCAACATTTCAACTTTGGCAAGAGACCAGATCCTACAGATTGACTATTAGTAACTTCAGTGAAGTAGTGACATCAGTCTCGTGTATATGTTAGCGAAGAGGCTAACAAATGCAAAAACATTAAGATCTCCAACTTTGCAGTATGGTTGAATGTATGAAAGTATGCCAATAGAAAAATGTGAAAAATTCACTATAGTAAAGTTAAATGTGCAATTTTTGTTTGTACGATGTACCTTTATTTAGTTGCCATTCCTGATCAAATCATTGACAACAACATTGTTGCAAGTGAAATGTCCCTACAGTACAAGGAATGAAAATATCACACCATCTTTTGTATTGAAGCTAGATCAGAATCATCACCATTATTTCCAAGATGAAGGTCAGCTTTTGTGTTGCAAGAGAACAACATGCAATTGTGTTATGTAAACCAGAGAAGATTTAAAAAAATATATATATTAAAAGAAATAATGAATTTGTTAATCCATTCTTAAAAAATAACTAGAAACCCACTTTCATAACTATCTTAGACCTGCTGTTTTATATGAGCAAATATGAATATAATTTTGATTAACTACTCTATTGAAGAAAGACAAATTATATATAATACCATTATACAATTTAGAAAGACATGTAAAAATTATACCCAGTACATTTGTTTTACAAATTTATTTGTTAAACATTTTTATGCACTTTTTTTGGCACAATACGTTGAAATTACACAGTATTGAGCATACTGCTAATATTTCAGTGGCTAGTTCAGATTCACAGTAATTCATTGGTACAATTTTCTTTCTCTCATTGTCCTGCTTAAAATTTTATTCCTTTTTTCAAGATCAAAGAAAACGAAAAACATACCCGCTTTGTAGATGACATTTAGACATTGAGACTATTTAGCACTTTTTCAAATTGTGAAATTTCACTCTACAGTGCAACTATTAGTACTAAAACAGGAAACACATTAATGAATGATATAACTTGATTGATTGCTGGTGCCCCCCTATCAGATAGCTGTATGAAGTTTGACCCCATTGTTGCTGGAAGCTGAGAGATTTACAGTTATTGAAGTAAGCTGACCACGTATAACAGATTTAGAATTCCATTAAATGTATGAGAATAGCACTGGAGTATTGTATCAACTACCATTTCGATGAAGCTGTACATAGTAATGTTTATTGTAATTCCAAATTCCAAAATGTATCTTCACAAAAGTTGACAAGCTTTCAGTAAAATTACAAGTTTCTTTTATACAAAATATAATTTTTAAAAATATTTTTAATAAAGATTTGTATGAATTTACGGAGTCAGTCTGAGTGCAAAGTGATTTTCATGCTAAGAATAAAAATGCTGTTTTTATCCTACAGTTTTCATATTTCATTTGCATAACCTCTAGAACCTCATAAATGAATATAAAAAGTTTTTTAAATAAAAGTTTATTGTATCAATTTTTTTCTCTACTCTAATACTAACTGCAGCTAAATCATCAAAGTACAGTAATATGAAATTTTGGAAATTAAAATATAATGAACAATAACTTTTTTCTTTGAATGAATTATTTGTCACCATATTTTCAATTTCATTACCTTCAAAATTTCTACTTTTTACATTTTCATATGTATACATTTTATTTTAAACCAATGACATTAGTGACTGACTTGTATAATGTTTGATTTTTATTATTTTTTTGGACTCATGCAATTGTAGTACCTAAGCCTGAATTATTTCTTTTTGTTCACAGAAAAATTAATTTACCTTTCGAGTATGCATTTTAAAACATTAACCACAAAAACAGACTTTCCAAAAAACAATTAAAACATAGTTGGTATTCTAAATAAGCTATTTAAGATATGAAAAAATTGTTAAAAGCTGTGACATCAACTTGCATTCTAGAATGTACTTTGTCAAATAATCAACTGTTCTAACATCTGTTGTTACCAATTTCAGAAAAACCATTGAAGGCTTATAGTTTAATGTGAGTTTTTTTCTATTGGTTATAAACATGCATCAAATTAGAGCAGGTGCTTTTGAAAACTGCCTTGAAAGTTAAGTATAGATGGGTGGAGCTTTTGTGATGGATGGGGAACATTTATTTATCACTCTAGGGAGAAGTTAGCACATTGAACCAATACAGTGGTGCCCCAATTATCCATGCTGTTTTCAGGAAAGCAAAACATCATAGATAACAGAAACAGTGGATAATGGTGTATCTCACTAGTTAGCCTTTTGTTTAGTCTAAGTAAACTTTTTCAATATACACAAAGTTCTTGTTTTAATTTATAATCTTTATACTGTTGTTTAATCACATTATCATGAAAAATTATAAAATGTCGTCACAATAATAATCTTAAAAGCCAAGCATTGGTCTGTCAGAATTTAAAAAATAAACATATATATATATATATATATATATACATACACACACACACATAAATTTCCTTTCTGCCAGTAGTCAAATAGAAAGGCTTTTAGTTATATTTCTTAATAGTATAAATATATACTATGTTGTTGTTGGGCTTATGATTCTTTTACAGTAGGTGTCTGTGACTTGTTAGTGATAAATTCAACAATAAATAAACAGCACACACTCCACTTGTTTTCAAAATAATGTATATATTAATAACAAGTTAATGTATGTACAATAAATTTTTCAACACTAGATATTATGGACATATCATAAATACTAGATATGAAGTTCTGTCCTTCTTGTCAAATATCCACTTAGGCCTATTCAGTTACTTTAGAATTTCAGTTGGCAGGCTGAACTATCTTCTCTATTTCTATGTGATTCACTTACAATTGTGGCACAAGTTACTGTAATCATTTGGTCTTCTTTCTTTTGAGGATCCTCTGTTCTTTTTGTCAAAGTGCACTCGGGCGGATTCAAATATATAAGAACCACGCTTTGACGGAATAAAATTATTTTTCTTATCTTCTTTTCTACTGTTAGTTTCACTCTGACATATTAAATGTTAGGCATATGTCAATCTTTAGGCCTGTCACTTCTAAGGTAGTTAACTCCGCACCAACGTTATCCTATTTTGCTATTATCTGTCTGCTGCTTCCCTGCTATTTATATTTTTATCACTTAATTGTCTGTCTGCCTTCTATATTCTTGACGTCAATGAATTACTAACAAAACCTTCTACAATCATCTGCTTTGAACTCTTATTATAACAAGAACTTAGCAATAATAAAATATTTTAATATAAATTAATCAATGATATCTAAACCAAACAGTCTTTTTATGTTATGACACGGTCTCATTTGATATTTCTGAATTTTGTGAGTTAAGCTAGTCAGATTCCTCTTTTACTTCTATAATACTTCCCCATTTCATTGCCCATTCCAATTTTAGTTAAAATTAATTCATAACATAGGTATAAACAGCTCTTAAATTTCAGCACTTTTTCTGCTATAGACAAGGAAGTATAGTCCCACTCTATCAATGCCTGTGAAAAATAAGTAAAAAATTAGTGTAACTCTATGCTTGGGAATTATTACAAAAAAGCCTTTTTTAAAAAATCTAATCAAATAAAGTTAACCAAGCTACAAATATTTTGTATTCCTGTCTTAACATCTAAAAATAAAAGAGGCAAGGCTGGGCTTGAACCAACTGGCTTATGATTTGAACACACGCCATATCCTGTATGTGAAACCCCCCGAATATCATTCAACATCTGAACTTTGTCAATTTCTGAGTGACAATTTCTCCAAAACATGTAAAGTATTGTATAGAATTGTAATTGCACAATTATTTAGAGAAAATTTGGGAGAAAGAAAAACTGCGGACAATCGAGGCTCATGAATAATGGAGATGTGGATAATTGAGGCACAAGTGCACATCGGACTTTGTTATTGTAATACATTTTGTCAGACAGTGTAGTGTTGCTCTAATATTAATATTGTACAAACCCATTTTATTTAATACAGAAATGAAGATTGAAAACTTTTTAACCTTAAGCTTTTGGGCATCCTTTTCTGCACATGTTACGAGGTTTTACTGAGTTACTTTCAAAATTTAATTAAGGTTAATTTGTACAGATCCTCT